CTCCCAGGAACCAATCAAGCCACTCCAAGTGCGCCCCAAATCTATTGTGGTTCTAGGCCCCCCCCCGGGGGACCAGGGGGGTAAAATTAAGGTTTACATTCCCCCCCTCTCCCCCCCCCCCCCCCGGTTGAGCCCCGATCGGGCTTGCGTTGGGGAGAGGAGGTTGACTCACCGAGTTCAATCGAGCATTTTCTTAATAACTAACGTTGGCAGCCAAAAATAATAATATCTCTCACTCCCTCTCGAGTCTCAGGGAACACGCAAGGGGGGGGTTAAAAATAATAACTTCTTGGATTCCGGATTCCGTTCCTGTATGACATCTATATTTAATGGAAGGTGGTGGTGAAAGGGTTTTTTTCTCCAATCTCTGGAAGAACCCAGGATTCGATTCAGCCAGTCGTCGTCTTTGATTCGTTGGAATTGGCCCAATTGTAGTGCGGAGATCTCCGCCAGTTTCATGCGGGATGTCCAAAACAGGGCGTTTTGGGGGGGGAAATAGAAAATAGAAAATCACGGGAAACTTTTTCGTGGTGAAACTCTGGTTTTACTTTCTGGCTATATTTTTACTTCGCATATTATTTTTAGCCTAACGCCCTTTGTGGGAAAACACTGGATCCTAACCTTGTGACGGTTCGACTGGAGAAGTCTAGGTCTAATTTTAATCATCCCTTGGGACTGTTTCCACCGAGGTCCCTTTGGTACATCTTGTTCCGCCGCTGCACATGCACATCGCTTAGAGCCTGCATGCTCACACCGTTTATGTTTTTTCCATGGCATCAGCGTCATCACCAAGTCACGCCTATCCAGAGTAGATTCACTGGAACACCAAAACGTGTCCTCTCGCAGCAATCAGATAGGCCTCTTGGATGAGCGGCGACCGGGCATTGGACAGAACGAAGTCCCCCAAGGTTCCCTTTTTCCGCAGTTTGTTGAAACCGCGAACTCTAAAACAAACGTCATAGTCTTGAAATATTATTCCATGTGCGATTCCACGGTTTCTCGCCAAAGGAGGAAAGCCTTGACTTCCTTCGAATATTCGACGTTCTGGAACAAATCTTGATATATCTGTCCGTCCCCTGTTGGCTGAAACCAATTCATAGTTTAATTGACTTCATAATGGCATCTTAACCCCTGGCCACTAGGCAGATGTTTTTTCTTCTGTTGTTCTACGCAGCACATGTGGAAGTTTAACAAACAATCAAAATCAAAGACGTAGGCACCAAAGAATGCAACATTGAGCAGATAACAAGAAGGCTTGTTGGGTCGCTTTGGACTGGATATTTCTCCTGACTCGACTCGGCCGTAGTTATAGTTTATAATAACTACCGTTCATATTTAACTACTACTGCATGCCGCTGGCTCGACTCTCTCCTCACGCATCCTTCATCAGACTGCTGGTAGTTACCCAGCAGAGGACTCCAGCAAACTCTTTCTCGCACCTGTCCATTTCTTCGAGCTCCACGGTCTTTGCTGTTTTTGCTGCATTTCATTCTTTAAATTCCACGGAGACATTACGTTCAAGGCAGTCTTCTTAATTCGTTCCATTCGTAATTGTCCTCCCAAAGCCAGACCGGTCTTTAAGTTATCGCACCTGAGAGTACCAAATCTGCCTCCCACTAGCAGGAAACCTGTTTCTTGTGCGGAGAGTGTCTTCTGGTTTATGGATCTATGCTGTCCATCAAAATAGACTGATTCTGTCCGTGTCCATTGCAAGACATGACGCTGATAAACCTATCAATGAGTAGTTCTCGAGAATGAGACTGGAATTCTTCAATGCCTTTGTCAATTTCCCTTGTCAAGTTCAAATTGTCTAATTTTTTTCCCCTTTCTTATTATATTTATTTCCTGGGTCCTCTCAGGTTCTCTACCCTTGTAACACAAATACTATGATGTCTCGCAGCAATGCCAGGGCATCAGATGCACAACGAAAGACTCAGGGGAAGCAGAAACAAGGCTCAATGCAACAATGCAACAATGCAACCTCGACAGCCGGGCTAATGCTCTTGTCAGGTCCCGTCTTAACTTTTCCAAGCTTATTGTTTGGCTTGTTTGGGAACACAAGGTGTATAGATGTCTTGATTTTAAGCCCCCGTCAGACAAAGAGTGTTTCCCTGCATCTGAACTTTGTTTTCAATGATTGCTCTGAGAATGAAGCGGAGTACGAGATGTTCAAATTCCTTTTTGTACGCCAGCATAGCACAGACATGTAGCTACAGTCTTGGCTGTGCTGGAGGTTACTGGGCTTTTGAAACAGCGGATCTGGGATGCATACGTATTCTGTTCTCAGCAGTCATCCCAAACATATGATAACTAAGCTGCTCGGGATTAATTAAGAGCTTCAGCCCCGTTAAGAGTTGATTGGATACTAGATTTCTCTCTGCCCTGGATTGCCCCGTTGAATCCATGTTCGTTACTAAGATTGCACAGTGATCTTTTAAGCGCTGGACTGTTGATACAAAAAAAAAAAAAAAAATTCGACTATCTGTGAAGGTTGGAGGAGAGGCTTAGATTCTCCATATGAAGATGTGATAGTGCCGGCCACGGATAACTAAAAAGGTGAGGTGTGTAGGTTCTATAATTAAACATGGATGTAAAGCTCTCATTTAGACTTCATAAAAAATATTCCATTAATAGCGAAATACAAACCCAGAATCTCACTCTATTCGGGGATGCATTTTTTGCGGACTGGAATCACTGATTGGCCGACAAGAACTCCCCATTCTGCATTACATAAATAAGTCAGGTTTGTGATTCTGTGATACTGTCTATATCTATATATAATTGCTGTAATCAGGCAAGCAGAGCACCCGGCCTCGTGTTGCTTTCCTTTGCTCCCCTCTACTCCAATTCCTAGCCCCCGAAGGAATCAGCCTAACTAGCCAAGTGCTTCTTCGGAATCCAATCTATAGCCCTCAAATACGGAGGACTTGCGGCAAAAGCAAAAATAGCAAGAGACTTTAGATTTGGTTGGCCCTGTCAGGGGTCAAAAAGTTAAGATTGTCTTTCAATAGTCATTGAATTTTTCTTCCTGTGGATTTTGACTCGTAAAATTGACAGCTAAATAGTACATCCCTTGTAGAATAAATGCTATTTTCCAAGTCCGCGGCTGTGCCTGAGAGCTCTGCAGCCAACAGCATCAACATCCCACTCGGCTAAAAAAAATCGTCCACCAACCACACCGTAGCAGTCTTTTCACCAAACCCCCTCAATTGAACCCCCAAACATACCACCAACACACTGCAACACGGACCTTCGATACCACCTTGCCTAGGTATCGTGCATGGCCACCCGGTAGTTCTCACTTCCCCTCATTTGTCATTGTCCCAAACAATCTGCGCTGCCTGCTTCTGGTGGAACGGTCCCCCGCATCTGCCGTAGCATGCAACCCCCCGAAAGCAACCTCGACGGCCTCTTTTACCCCCGAACTTAGACTCTGAAACTTGAGCAGAGTTTGGAACAAGCACCAAACCCATCGGGATACTGGATCACCACCTTTTCCGTGTCTGGCAGATGCCAGCTTTCCATCGCTTTAGAACCCCATCGTCCGCGCCATAGGTCTGAAATCGCGAGCATGAGCTGGCCATTGACAATACGTCCGGCTCTGCGACGGCCTTGCAGTCCGGACTCCGAAAAACTCACCCAGCGCCTGACTGCTGCGCTCTTTGGTGGGTTTAATTGCCCTTGAAAAGGGCTTCATTGATTTTATTTCCAGACCTCACACGACGCGTTTTTCCGTGACTAATAAAGGGAGGTATTTAACTTGTGGGCAGCCCTCCAACACCGGCGTTTCTCCGCTAGCCCTCCTCCATGGAGCGAAGTGCAAAGGAAACCCCACTCCCCGCCGAATCTGATCACCTGCGTTCCGTGGTCCGCCCTCACCGTTGGAATTCCGTTCGAAACCTTCCCAAACGAGCGTCGCATTGCCCTAACCCCGCAGAATGCTGCTCTGTTGCTAAAGAAGGGATTCGCCCGAGTCCTGATCGAGCGTGGTGCTGGAGCTCAAGCTCAGTTCACAGATGATGCATACGAGAAGGCGGGTGCAACACTCGTGGATAGGAAAGCTGTCTGGCAAGATAGTGATATCTTGCTGAAAGTACGCCCTCCCTCACTCAATGGCTGCTCCAACAATGAGGTGGCTGCCCTCCGTGAGGGAAGCACCCTTATTTCGTTTCTATACCCGGCACAGAATAAGGAAGTGGTGAATGCGTTGGCTGCTCGCCATGTAACTTCGTTTGCGATGGATATGATCCCTCGCATATCCCGCGCACAGGTGTTTGATGCCCTTAGGTAATATTGGAGAATTTATCCGCCCTTTATTTTATTTTATTTTATTTTGAAACAGTGGACTTTATATGCTTATGGCTTTCTTAGTTCTATGGCAAATATTGCTGGATATAAAGCTATCCTCGAGGCTTCGAACCATTTTGGCCGGTTTCTCCCTGGTCAGGTTACAGCAGCTGGGTAAGCAGGGAATTCCAATTCTATTCCTGTGATGGCTCCGTGAGGTTAGAACTTGAATTTGCTAACGACCTATACTTCAACGCTATAGAAAGGTAAAAACTGTTCCTGTAATCGTCGGAATGACGCCGGTGTATTTAAACTAATCGGAGGTCTAGATCCCTCCTGGCAAAGTTCTCGTTATTGGAGCTGGCGTAGCTGGTCTAAGTGCTATCGGTGCCGTGCGTATTCTTTTCCCGTTTTGTAACAATAATGTTCCTGCTCTTTTCTGACCGTTTGTGCAGGCCCGTCGTCTAGGAGCAATTGTACGGGGTTTTGACACACGACCCGCTGCGCGCGAACAAGTACAGTCTCTTGGTGCTGAATTCATTGAAGTCAATATCCAGGAAGATGGCACTGGTACTGGTGGCTACGCAAAGGAAATGTCAAAGGAATTCTTGGAGGCTGAAATGAAGCTATTCATGGAACAGTGCAAAGAAGTAGACATCGTGATCACCACGGCCTTGATTCCCGGACGCCCCGCCCCCAAGTTGATCAAAAAGGAGGTGCGTTATACACTACATGGAACAACTTGCTTGAAATTAAAACAGTTGACCAATCCGGGATTCAGATGGTAGAAGCAATGAAAACAGGCTCCGTGATAGTCGATCTAGCAGCTGAAGCTGGCGGAAATTGCGAATTGACTGTTTCCGGACAACTATCTGTTCATAAAGGCGTTACTATTATAGGTTCGTTGTGTCCTTGAATCGGCATGGGTTGTTACTAAAACCTTGTTAGGCTATACTGATCTTCCCTCACGACTTCCAACACAATCGTCAACCCTGTACTCCAATAATATCACCAAATTCCTTCTCTCTATGGCCCCTGAGGAAAAGAAATTCGGGATAGACCCTACGGACGAGGTTGTTCGTGGCTCAATTGTTACGCAAAATGGCGAAATCCTGCCTCCCGCGCCTCGAACCGGTCCCCCACCAGCTGCGGCTCCAAATGCCGCTACGGTTGAGATTTCCAAGGAGAGCGCTATGCTAGCCATGACCCCGTTTCAGAAAACCTCACGGGAAGTCGTCACCGTTACCGGTGGTATGGGACTTGCGGTGCTGCTCGGGAAAATCGCTGGTCCAGTGTTCATGAGCAATGTATTTACCGCTGGACTTGCTTCGCTTATTGGCTATCGTGTGGTGTGGGGAGTTGTACCTGCGCTGCACTCCCCCCTGATGAGTGTAACAAACGCCATTTCAGGTGAGAATCTTTAATACCATTCCGAATAGCAGTAGCTGATGTGTTCACACTCTAGGTATGGTTGGTGTCGGTGGTTTGTTTGTCATGGGAGGAGGGTTTGTTCCTGAAACCGTTCCCCAGGTTCTCGGCGCATTGTCGGTCCTGTTGGCATTTGTGAACGTTTCTGGTGGTTTCGTCATCACCAAGCGAATGTTGGATATGTTCAGACGTAAGCTCTCGAACATTTCGATTCCTCGACTCGAGGTTTGCTTTCTAATAGTTTCATAAAATAATAGGCCCAACGGACCCCCCTGAATATCCCTGGCTATATGCAATACCCGGTCTGTTGTTTGGTGGAGGCTTTATCGTAGCTGCGACCACCGGTATGGCTGGCCTTGTGCAAGCTGGGTATCTTGTCAGTAGTATCTTGTGTATTAGTAAGTCTTTACCACTACTGATGTTTAGTATTACAATTAATTGACGAATTACCATAGGTTCCCTTTCTGGTCTTGCATCTCAAGCGACAGCTCGACGAGGCAACATCTTAGGCATACTAGGTGTAGCTTCTGGGATGCTCTCATCTCTAGCTGCAGTGGGCTTTTCGTCTGAGGTTCTTGCTCAGTTCATCGGAGTTGCTGGGTTTGGAAGTATTGTTGGTGTGTAGATCCTCCTCAACCGGAATCCGATAGTCTATTTGTATGAAGAGGGCACGACTCTAATTCAATTATTTAGGTGCCCTGATCGGTCGACGCATTACGCCAACCGGATTACCGCAAACTGTTGCAGCACTACACTCCGTTGTCGGATTGGCTGCTGTTCTTACGAGCATTGGAAGCGTTTTGGTAGATGTTGGACATATTTCTACGTTACATCTCATCACCGCATATTTGGGGGTTGTTATTGGTGAATGCCTCTCCAAAAAGTTTGCCGCTCTTAGGGCCATGGCTAACTGAACTCAGGTGGTGTTACGTTTACCGGTTCAATCGTTGCTTTTCTCAAACTAGCGGGGCGCATGTCTTCACGTGCTACGATTCTCCCTGGGCGGCATTTAATCAACGCATCCCTCCTTGGAGGAAATGCTGCTTTGATGGGCACATTTGTCACCATGGCTCCGGGCGCTCCTATGACCGCTGCTCTGTGCTTGGGTGCTAGTACGATTCTCAGCTTTTTGAAGGGTTATACAACAACAGCTGCTATCGGTGGCGCTGATATGCGTACGTCCCCACTTCTACACTCCAACGAAGGGTTGTATGCGTCGTTCCTCCGGAGCCAGCTGACTAAAAATATGTTCATACAGCCGTTGTAATTACCGTTCTGAATGCCTATTCTGGATTTGCATTGGTTGCTGAAGGCTTTATGCTTGACAACCCGTTGTTGACAACTGTCGGATCTCTCATTGGAGTTAGCGGTTCTATTTTGTCGTATATTATGGTAAAATTTTCGTCCTTGAACGCCATATTATTTATTCCCTTTACTGATTTCCTCTTTCTTCAGTGTGTTGCCATGAATAGATCTTTAACCAACGTGTTATTTGGTGGGATATCTTCTCCAACTGCATCGGATCACAAAATTGAAGGACAAATTACCACAACGTCGATCGAAGAGACTGCGGACTCCCTTGCTAATGCGGAAAGTGTTATAATTGTATGATCTGAAATACGTCTACATTTACCTACTTAATTTCCACATCGCTGACCGGTTCCAGGTTGTCGGCTATGGCATGGCTGTCGCAAAAGCCCAGTATGCAATTTCAGAAATTACTCGAATGCTCCGTGCCAAGGGAGTGAAAGTCAGATTCGCAATCCACCCGGTTGCTGGCAGAATGCCAGGACAATGTAATGTCCTCCTGGCAGAAGCCTCTGTGCCATACGATAGTAAGTCCCATTTCCAGTCTTCATATTTCATCAATAAACTAAAAGCTCTGCCTTTTCAGTCGTCTTGGAGATGGATGAGATCAACGACGATTTCCCTGATACGGACGTTACACTGGTCATCGGTGCCAACGATACCGTCAACCCCATTGCACTTGAACCAGGCTCTCCCATCGCTGGCATGCCCGTTTTGAACGTGTGGAAGAGCAAGGAAATCATCGTCATGAAACGAGGCATGGCCAGTGGATACGGTAAGCTTGCTTGCCCATATACTCGTTCCTGGAATCTTTTTCCAAAAGATGGAAACCCGCAGATCTACTTGGGTAGATGAGACAGGTGGACTAATTGTGTTCGATTCTGTAGCTGACGTACCGAATCCCATGTTCTACATGCCTAACACGAGGATGTTATTCGGAGACGCAAAAGCTTCCTGCGATGGTAAGCTGCAAATGCACCTTAATTCCCACTTGTGCAATGTTTTCTTTGGCTAACGATCTTCCGAACCACCCAGCAATTCAACATGCCCTCGATGCACGGAAATAAAATATGAGCGTTGTGAGCACTGAGTCTGCGCAACAGCGCTCGCTATCAGCGACACTGTGGCCGATCGCAAAGCCTCTGAAACATCAAGGCAAGATTGGCGCATAACAAAACAAGGCACAGCAAAAAAGTGGAATGATATCTGGTAAATCAGTAAATAAGCACGTCGTTCAACCAAATGGCCTTTTTTTTTTCCCCCGCCCCTTCACGCAGAATGAAGTTGAGAAATTGCCATACCCAACATTACCTTTTTTCTCTTCCTCCTTTTCTTGCTCCTCTCATCCTTTACAGTGCAGCCCACCAAGAAGAAAAGCGAAATCCAGACCCGAGTTAAAGAAACTGACGGTTTTGTTTTTTCGTTTCCCCCCTCGAACCCAAGCAAGCAAGCCTACAAACAGACAATAAAGAGATCTCTCTATTTTTGCAGTACTCCTGATACGAAGATTTTGTTTGCCCTGCATTATTCCTTCCCTCCTTTATTTACACTTTTAAAGTTCGTGTTGTTTTCATATCGTCTTTGCTTTTGCATATGGTCGTCATTCCTTTTGGAGTCATTGCCGGTTTCTTCATGTCACTGGCATCAGACCATTTTTCGTATGCTCATTCTCTATGCCACTACAGACGTCATTTCTTGCCTCACATGATCCTGTAAAACATCCAGCACTTTAGCTCACTATATACATCTGTCGTTTCTCTCTCTCTCGCCTCACTGCCCCCTTGGCCATTGTGCTGCATGTGTGGTTTATCTTGCCCTATATATATATATATATAGCCACCTCCCTCAGTTTGTGGCTCTTACATTAAGAAATTTTGTTGCATGGCTAAAATTATGGAACACAAGAATACAGTTAAGAGCATGAAATTACAATACTGGAAAGCCTTGAAAACAAAGATTTGTAAAATCGGAAGTCAACTTTTAAATAAACAACAGAAAACACTATCTTGAATTAATTATTATTATAGTCTCCACAGAACTTTGGGAGGTTCAATTTGATACTTGGCCTCAAAAAGTCTTTCCCAGTTGTACACCCAACATATATCCTCATGCATAATGCCATCATCATTCACATTGCACATGGCAGTCTGTTTTAAGCATCGAAATTCATGATACACACGCATATCAACACAAGGGGGTATGATAACATTAATTACATGGTGCATTAAATATTGAAAACCAATTTACCAAGAGAATTTTGTTGGTATGAGTGTAATGGGTTAGACTGAAAGCGGTGAGATGATTGGGGGGCATGACTAGAGCAACAGACCTTCGGATGAAAGAGGACAACAGCTACGCACAAATACTTGCCAAACTGATCAAATGAGAAATTGCATTTATAAAAAAGGGAGGGGGAAGCCACCAATAGTGAATGGAATGTAAAGTAGAAAACAATTACAAGGGAGCAAAAGATACAGAAAATGCAGACAAAAACAATAAATTCAAAACAAATTCAAAATTTCACTAGGTATCGGGGTATCATTCACGTCCACCTCGCATTTTTTTGTTTTTTAAAATATAGTTTCCCAAAAATAAAACTGAGCACACCGAAACGGAAAAAAAGGGTGCTAACGCAAAAAAATGGACAAAACGGAATCGAGCACGAAATCGAAAGACCAGAGATAAGAGTGGAGGGAACGGACCTGTGGGACGACATCATACAGGATTTCTTTTGAAGTAATTGGTATATTAGAACGGGAGAGGGGAGTGTAGGGATATTTCTTTTGCCGTGATTGGGAACTACGATCATCTGTTAGGCAGTTAACACGCCAGGACTAGACAAGTACCGCTGGTCCCACCACTTCTCGATCTCAACGAAGCTCGTCCTGGCGCCTGCATTTCATGCGGCAGCTTGGACGGGTTGGGAGGAAGAAGCTGCAGGGACAGCGGCAGCGTCATCCTTGATCTCCTCGGGGGCTTCACTGCCATTTACAGCGGCGGTTGGTTCAGCTGGGGTGTCTTTGCTGACTGGTTCAGGCTTCTCAGCTCCCTCGGGGATTGGCTCGGATTCCGCGGGAGTGGCAGCAGGGGCGGTTTCCTTATCCTTCTTGCCAGGCTTACTGACACGGTGGAAGACTCCTCCAAGCTTGGGGAGAGGAGAAGATGCGGAGGACTTGGACTTGGCTTCCTCGTCACCAGCCTGCTCACCGTCACTGGTTACCTCAGGCTTCTTTTCCTTTTTGCCGAGGGTGCCAAAGAGGGAGGTGCGACGCTTGTCCTTGGTAGCTGGGGAAGCGTTGGCTTCTACGGCGGAGGCCTCGAGAGCTTCCTCGGGTTTTTTCTCGACCTTGTCGTTAGCCTTGATCTCCTTCTTGTCCTATAAGACTACCTGTCAGTGTTTTGATTTTCGTATATTCTATTCGCTTAGGGAACTGGATGGACATACATCGTGCTTCTTGATGAAGTTCAGGAAACTATTCTTGGCGGAGGTTGGGGAGGCTACGGGTTCTTCGCCTTCCTTAGCGGGCTGGGGAGGCTCAGCAGCGGCGGTTACAGTCTCGGGCTTGGTGGGCTCAGAGGTGGAAACATCAACAGGGTCCCCGAGTTGAGGAGCGGTGCTGGAGACATGTGTTTCCGTGTTCTTTACGGCGCTGTCCTTCTCAACCTTGTCTTGGTTGGAGACCTTGTGGAAAATGTTTCCGAAGATCGAGGCCCGCTTGGATCTTCCAGCAGTAGGTGACTCAGGCTTAGCTTCAGGCTTCTTTTCCTCAGCCTTTGGCTCCTCTGCAGCGGGAGTAGGAACAGGAGCTATTAAATATTAGTTTCTATCTTAAATGTCCTATTAAGATTTGACTTACTCTCAGCCGCCTCAGCGACAGGCGCTGAGGTCTCCACAGCTGGTGCAGCAACTTCTGGTTCCTCCTTGCCCTCAGTCTTTTCTTCCTTCTTTTCCTCTTCCTTCTTGCCAAGGAAACTTCCGAAAATGCTGGCCCGCTTCCGAGACTGAGAACGGCTCTTCTCTTTCTGCTCCGGCTTCTTCTCCTCTTCCTTCTTTTCCTCACCCTCTTCTGCTTTAGCAGGCTCCTTCTTCTCTAGACTCTTCTTGGGTGCTGCAGCAGCGACGACAGGAGGTTTGGCTATATGTATGGTTAGCGAAATTCCCACATTGAAACGCCATATAAAAAAAAAACCCCCCATAGACAATTAGGAATACATACTCAACTTCTCCAGCTCAGCCTTGTAACCTTCACTAGAGGTGACAGTTTCTTTCTCTCTCTTGGCCTCAGCGGCCTTGGCCTCGAGGGCAGCAATCCAGGAAGCGCGCTCATCATCACTTCCAGCCTGGAAAACATGCTTGTGACCAGCAACCTTGAACTGGAATTCGTGTCCAGACTCCTTGACTATGTCAGAAATATCGGCCAAGTTGACGATTCCCGTGGGTGTAGCCTTGTCCTCAGCACGCTTGGCGTAAAATAGAAGACCTTTGCCAGTCTGACTAGCCCAGGCAGCGGTAGGATGAGCAATGCTAAGCTTCTCATTCTGGAAATACGCAGCGAGCTGCTTAACCTCAACAGCATCATCGCTGAACCAAAAGAAGCGCTTTGAAAAACGGAATCCCCTATAAATCAAAGTACAAATACCCGTTAGCATTGTCTATTATATATGTAAAACCCCAAAAATTTGAAGTAATAATAAAATAAAAATAAACACTGAAGTTATTGCGCTTCATTTAACCCCCCTCAGTGAGACCTACTTGACCAAACCAGGGGACTTGTGTCCGAGAACTCCATCTGTGGCAGGCTTGACCTCTTCCTTCGCTGGCTCATCAGCTGCAACAGCGGCGTCAGCAGCCGGGGCGGGAGTTTGCGCTGGAGTCTCTGCAGGGGACGCAGTAGCAGCAGCAGCAGCAGCAGCAGCAGCACCAGCTGTAGCATCCGTGGCGGGTTCAACAGCAGGAGCAACAACAGCCATGTCTTCAGCGGGTTTCCTAACTTCCGACATCTTGACTGTGGATAGTTGAAAGATCGGAGATACGAAGCGAAGTGGTTAGATTGCTGGAACGGATATCGATCGACCAAATCCGGAGCTGCGTGATTGCAAGATGAGTGGATTGCAGGCACAACGAGGCTTGATGCAAGCTTGTGGTTTGAAAGGTGATTTGAGAGGCGATTTGGATATATTAAAATAGGGTTATAAATAGTAACGATATGGGTATCTGGGGTATCTCAAAAAAAAATAAAGAAAGAGAAGGAGAAAAAGATAAAGATGTGCTTAAGCAGATGCAAAGAGAAACGCTGGGTATTACACAATGGAACAGGAGCTGAGGCAGCTACACTGGCTGAGAGCAGATGAGGTTGATGTTGATTCAGAAGAGGAGGAGAGAAAGAGGAAAAGGAGAAAGGAGAGGGAGGAAATGAGTCGAAGCAGCCGAAGAAAAAGAAAGCGGAAACGTAAGCGAAAGTTTCCAAGCGACCGGGGGGGGGAAAAGGTTGAGAGAGGGTTATGGGTACGTTACCGTATCGTTAGGTGTGTAATACGGGGAGGCAAAAAGGCTGGTTGGTCACTTGTTGGTCCCCCCCCCTTCTATGGGCGCTTTTGGTCGCTTTTGGTTGCTGTTTTCACTGTTGGTCGCTGTTGGTCGCTGTTGGTCACTGTAATGGTCAAAAGTGGACACCTGACGCGCCCCCAGGAGAGGCTGGGAGAGGCTGGGAGAGGCTGGCAGATGGCCAATTATAGAAGCCTGTGGCGGGTGGAGTCCATCCTTGTATGGGATCAACCTTGGTTTGGAAACTGTATCAATGGCGAATTTGTCGTGTGTTTCGGTATTATTACTGCCGTACTGCCGTATTTCCGTACGTACCCCTTGTACTTGGGTTCCCAGCCGCCGAATCTTTTTGTGGAACTTGATCCAAAGTTACCAACCTCAACAAGCTCTCTCTGCAACTGCACAACAACTGCACCTAATCTAGATATTGCTACCTGCCATCTTCTATTATTATTTGTTGTTGTTGTTGTTGTTGTTGTTGTTGTTGTTGTTGTTGTTGACAATGGAAATCCCATTTTCTTCATAGCCTGTTCAATCAATATTCAGCCTCGTATTGCTTGTGTGAGAATCTCTCTCCCTGCCTGGTAGGGAGGCTGTCGCAAAGCTCTTCAACGGCTCAGGGTAGTTAGCTGTGTGGCCAGGATTTAGCATCTTCCGCCAATACCTCTAACCCTTTTTCATGCCAATGCTAAAACTGCTTGTCTCCACCGCACTATTAATCTATTGGTGTCAACTTTCATCCAGAGGCCCCATTCCTGTGCATACACAATTCCCCTAGGTTGTCGAGCGGCTTCCCACTAAATTAGCCCAAGGTTGCGAGGGATCCATGCTCAGCCGTCGTACGAGAAACGGATTTCCCTTGTTAGTCCGTAACTTTCCTTGGTGTTGTTTGACTGGCTGCGAGTGTTGATTGTCCATGGTTCGGGCAATAATAATAACTAGCTAATATACGGGGATGGTAACTACCCGTACGGTAGTTACATAAAATTATAACAACGAACAGCGAGACAGGAAATGTTTCAATCAAGGATGTTGTTATTTTTATTTGTTACACACTTTACAGTGAGTGAGTGCATCGTTAAGAACACGGTCGGGGAAGAAAAGTAAACAAATAACTGCGGTGGATCAAGACTCCAGGTGGAGTCTGAATCCTAAATTCTGGAGATCGGAACGGCAGAAATGCGCATGGTTGCGGGCCTTGAGGGAAATTTGACCTGGAGCAAACGATGCCTTGGAGTCTGGGGACTCTTGCGAGTAGTGAAACCAGTCAGCAGTCAGTCCACTGGAGGAAAAATGCTACAGATGCTTCCACTCTAATGAACCGATGGACTCGTGCTGCAGCTTGGACATTTCGGAGCAAAACGAGCATATGGCGGCTGATCAGGAGAGCAGACTCCGACGGTCTGATGGAGTGCATGATAGAGGAATGACTGGCGGACTGGGGGAACCTAGCTCTCTAACAAGCAAATAGTATAAGTTAGCGCCGTTGTAAGTTCCTTTTTTCCTCCATACAAACATTTAGTCTGGCAAAACCAAAGCTTCAAGCTGCATGCATAAAACTCGCAGTGCATTACTCCGTACACACATAGTTGTAGTTACTCTTGTGGCCGAGGCCATTAATTTTCTCAAAACAGAGAGTAACTTTCTAACTATTGAGCTTTTCTAATGGGCTACATACACAGTTGCCAGCAGACCAACTGCAAACATTTCCAGTAGTTAACGAAAAAGAATCACACCCCCCCCCCTTCTTCTTTAACTCTAAGAAATCATCAGCTCTGTTTCAAGGTACATTTCTTAACCTAGATAATACCTATCACGCCCGTCAGTTCTCGCGACAATACAATGCTTTCCCTCAAGGCCCCATCACCTATTGCATCGTTATTCCATCAATACAGCTTGATTGCATGCATGCATACATTTCAGTGCCTCGAGCCCCATTTTAATTACAGGAAGCGACAGTTCATTCAGCTAAAATAACGTTATTGCTTTCCCCACAGAGAGGGGAGAAAACATGAATACATGGAACGAAAGTGTGCGATATGGATAATTTTTAACGTTGAAATGGCCAGTGGTGTCAGCACAGGAAAGGGGGAAAAAAAAAGAAGAAGAAAAAAATTAAAAAAGGGGGGTTTCACGTGCCTTTTAAGGGCTTGGATTGAACAACGTAGCTAATCCTTCTATTGACTTGATTGTTGGAATGAACCATTGAAGGGGCCTTGAAAGGTTGAAAAGCCTGGGTACCTTGTTAGTATTCTGTTAATGTAATCTGCAATGAGAATGGAAGCAGGGTCTTCAAGAATGTTGATATCGATCTTCGAGGGTATGAATCTCACTGACTTGCCAGAAACCTCGCAGACAGGAAAACACTGGGAAGAAATTCGAAGCAAGAGACAAAGACAGAATGAACAGAAAAGTGACCAGCTCGCAGCCTCACCAGTCTATCATGTCAAGCATGTGTTAGCAGCCATGAACATTGTCCTGGGAAGGTGAGAATTTGGAGGCACAAAAATACACATCTTTTCATCCAAACTGGATGAAAAAAGAATGCACTGTGGCCATTACCCTCCATTGCGGCATGGGAACCAGATGCAGTAGTACAATGGCTTATCCACAGCTATTTTCTGGCATGGATGTATGGAATTTGTTCCAGTTTTCCTGCGTCAGACGCCGCGTTTTTGACAGGGGTTTCAGGGGGAGTATTCACCCATATGGCAAGATCCCCCAGTGTCCTCTTGTTGTATTTCTCGGGGCCAAGTGTGCAGCCGGAAGATAAAATGGCAGTCCGTTGCAAGAAAGGTGAAAAAGCAGTCTATTAATGCAGAACGAATTAGAGATGGATTCTTTTTACAACTCTTGACAAACGGAGTCTCGGGCTGTCTCACGTCCAATGTTGAGCAGAGCATCGTATGGTCTTTCTCACCTCTACAGTACAGCTCGATTTATCTCAACGGTCGTCCAACCTCGCGGAACGAAAGCGGACAAATGTACATAGACTTACACAGAAGGAAATGGGAACAGGTGGCGCAAGAGAGCAAAGGGTGGATGGAATTGAGGACAGGGAGACAACAAAAGAGAGTGGATCATTGGGAAATATTCCGGACAGGCAATCCTTCCGTTTCTCGACCTTCTATGTATATTTAATGGGCGAAACTACGAAGAGATAGGACTCAAAGTCTCTTAATGCTTCCCACTGTTAGCAGTTCCCAGAAGCTTTACTCTGGCATCAGGCGGCGTGATTGGCATCTCTGCTGAACTGGTCGCCGGCTGTGGCTCCAGATCGACAACTCCAGCAAGCTTGCCCAACGCTTGCAATGGTGAACCCGGACGTACATTTGTCCTACGAATGTCCGTATATTTGCTATGTCAGAGGTGGAAACATGTCCGCTGCCTATTGGACTATGGAGCGTAGGGGAAAGCTCCGAATTGAGAGACAACCTGGGCTTTTGCCCTTTTTCCAGGCTCTCTGTCATCCAATTATGGACCTTGGTGAACCGAAGGTTTCTCAGACAACGAAATATGTATGTACATACATTTGAAAAAGCTCGTTTTAAATGAAAAACAAGATTATAAGAGAACAAATGACCAGAAAACTGGACAGCTTCGACTCCACAACCTAGTGAACACACGGTTTGGAGTGAGCAACTCCACGGGGAAAAACAGTCTGCTTTCATACACACGGAAAACTTAGAGAGCTTTGTGGGGTAAACACGTATCAAAAAACATTAACAATGAAATAAATGGGAATATATATACAAAGCAGAACATGTAGGGAATTTGCAATGCCAATAATTATGATATTGCCACTAGGTCTGCAAAATAGTCGAAGTGTTGTAATAACTACAGATTAACTTTGAAATAAGCTTATTAACCCCTGCTAGTTATCTATCAGAGCAACATTAGATCTTCCTGAGAGATACGTCCAGGGGTAGGGAGAACCTGACTGTGGCATCATGCTCCTGGACCCAAGTTCATGGCCGTTTATCATGGCTGAACGGTGGTTATAATTAAAATCCTATAAGCATATGGATGCAAAAGTTCCTAGAAGCGGGCTTTCATTTGTTAAAAATATTATTTTAAATCCCCGAATATGATTTCTGCTGAAGAAGAAACCCGCGATTCCTCAAACCGATACTCCGCTGCACGGGGAAGGGGTAAAACACAGAAGCTTTTCTTACATCCAACAGAACAGTTGATACGTGTTTCAGAGATGGGCGATGCTTAGAGTTAACTCTAGCCTATGTGGCGTTTGGCGTTTCCCCTCATCAGCCTCCGGCGGCCCCCCCCCCCTCGGGGCCCCCCACATCTCTCGCCTGCCATCCACAACCCAGCCTCTACAGACAGAAGCGCTCGAACGCAGGTGTGGAGGCTGGACAAGGGTAAATTCCGTTGCAATGATGCTCTTGCGGTTGTTTAAGCTTAATAAATCTATAATTATCTCTTTCAATTTCCCTCTGGGGCTCCGAAAGTAACCGTAAAGGTTAAGGCAGAATTGGCACATTCATTGCCAACCATTGAGCGAATGCCCAGCCATCTCCTTCGCCTCTTGCACAAGGACACGCGATCAAAGTTTCAATGTGGACGCTGATTCGATCCTTGCAAGTTTATATAGCCCTTAAACTTGAAAGCTCGCAACCTCTTTTGAATTTCAAGGATGGCTGGAAATGTAACGTTGGCAGCGCGCCGCCGTTGTCGTCTCTGCAGTGACGTCATGTCGGTGGTTGGGAAAACAAGCTGTATGTATGTACCAGACTTCTTTGAACCAATGGGTAAGGCTGGGCATGGCTTGGCTACACTGCCTGCTGCATGAATATGATATATGTTGGTTTTACAAAGTTGGGTCCACTTTTTCAAAACCATGATCACCCCAAGTAAAATAAACAATCTACATGCTATGTCATACACAGCACACATAGTTATATATATATGCCTTACTCATCTCTATTCAACCTCCCTCCTCAACACCAAGGTTAGAAGGTAGAAGGTAGGTCAGGCGTTAGGATTAGGGTTAGTTAAGGGTAAGAGCCCAAGAAATATGAGAAAATCACTAGTTGACGTACCATCCATCGGGAGAGCATTTAGCGATGTGTCAAAGATATATGAGTGAGTATGATGACTATTAGTGTATGTAGTTTTTAATGAGGGGGCGTCATGATCTGAATTGTGTACAATCGCGCTCAATGTTTTTCCGGCCGAAATTTAAAAGCCACGTTCAACTGTAGTTAACTACGCCTTGGCTTGGTCATGGAGATAGACAGCTTAAGAGTCCCCACATGAGTAACAGAAATGTCCTAACACATAGACGGAACAAGACCGAAGTGAGCAACTGGTGTTCTCCATAGGCGGGAAGTCAAAACTATTTGATGACGAAAATCTGAAACTGAAGGTCATATGATGGCGCAAAGGAGAAAAGAATTATGACGGGGAAGAATTATCCTGTGAAGGGGCAAAATGTTCACTACGTTTTGGAGAGCTGACATGAAAGTCATTTCAGGGAACAGCCTCATAGGGGGAAGTATCCTTCCAAAATTGGGCAGAAGCCAAAGAGAAAGAAGATAAGGCAAAATTGGTGGATGTATGTGTATATCACCAGGTGTGGACGGGAGATGGATGAGTGTAAAGGTAGTAAAGAATCTGCATGATTTTGCTTCAGAAAAGAAATTGAGCCCCTTTTTTCTTCTTCTATTTTTTTTTCCCAGCTCAAGAGATGATTTTGATTCACAGATTTCACTGTGCTTTTGAACATCTCCGGCCAGAAGCAAATGACGCCTGAGATGAATCAGACCCTTCTCAATATTTACTCCAATTTATCTATCTGGATCTGGTTTTCATTGGAGCGTTGGACTATCAGCGTCCGTTTAGGATCATGAAACACAGTGGGCTAGCTACGTCGATACACAGGTACACCACCCATACATACATAACCAAGCAGTGGATGGACTCTGCACAGAATCATTGACTTTACCACCCACCTACCCACCCACCCACACACACACACACACAGACACACACACACACCCAACAAAATACCATACATTCCCCGTTAAACTCCATCCGTTCGTCGAACTTGCTCAGGCAGGCAGTTTCCCGGCCGGCCATTTGGAAAACTCAATTAGCAGAAGAAAGCCGTGGCACATGCGCCAGCAACCAACCCGGTCTAGGCCCTGAATCATCAAATAGGAGAGGGGACTGTGTAATCGAGAATTTGTGATTTTTTTTTTCCACTCTTAAACATGGAGAACCTTGGGAAAGAGAGTGTGTGGCTTCAGGTGAGCCACCGCGAATATGCCGCCTGCGGAGATATCGTTAACAAGAAAGAAGAAGATTATTCACCGGCCCGTGACTGTTTCTTTATCTAGAAGGTTAACTAGCCGTTGCAGCAGTATTTCGCGTTAGCTCGCACGATTCCAAATCCTACGTATAAACGGACGGGGAAAAACGGATCATCAATGGGACCTTGGCTCTTTGTGTGTATTTTGTTTTTCAGTAGCTCTTTGATATCTGTTGGCCACACGTGTTGGTTCCTGGGAAGGTGCTGAGGTTGGTTGTCTCAAGCTCACACACACACAAAATGTCTGCAGGGTGCAAGAAACTCCGTAGCAGGCATCAGATAGACTTGAGGCACACCTGAAGCTCTTGGAGGAATTCTTTTATTTTTGCAGCATCAAACTTCTTTAGCATAAAATTATTTTGGTGAGGGTAAATATACCCAGGTACCTGTATATGTCACTACCTAGATGTGTCAAAAATATCAGTAGTATATATACATACAGACAAATATGGACTGCACAATCAAGGGCCAGAAAACAACAGCCATGCTGATGTAAGGGAAAATGATATACACGCCAGGTTTTGAAAGTAGGGAGCATTTGCGACAGGGAAGAGACAAGAAAAGAAGCATAAACTCAACTCTTCTCGAAGATGGATTTTATATACAATGAATGTCCTCACACGGTCGTGAGCACGTAACTGTGGTCGAAAGATTAGCATCACTCTTTCGGGATGGTCAGAGAAAGGGCCAAGGGGGTAGATACTTACGAAGTAATGCTTTCCATCCTTTCTGCCGTCAACTTGAAACATACTCTCATCAGCTCCTGTGCCAACATCGGCTCTTTCCTTCTTAATTCCTTCCACTCCTCGATTCCAAGACGCCACACGACACTGTGCCGTTCCGCCTTGACAGTGGCCGTACGCTTAGTCTCTCCAAAAAAATGCAGTTCGCCGCATGGTCTCCCAGCGACGATAAGCTCGAAATAGCTGCCCTGCGGCGTCTGATTCTCGGCCCGTAGCATCCCGGATTCAAGAAGATAGAAGTTTTGAGCTTCTTCACCATCACGATAGAGAATCGAGTCAACATCAAACACTTCCATGACAAAGTAGCTGCAGGCGGGAAACCAGAAATCTTCATTTTCTTGTGTTAATCCCTGGAAGGTTTGCAGTAGAAGCGGGAGGGGTTGTTGAAATGTAGACCATTTTTGGGGCATGGCGTTGTTGGAAAGTCGGTCCGCTTGCTCTTCGCAAAGGGCTGTCGTTGCTACTTGGTGAAGATAATCACCTCGAGGGGAGTTGAGAAATGTGTCCGCAATTGTTTGAAGCCGATTCTTGGGTACTTCTGTCAAAACTCGTTAGAAATAAGTTGTCCCTGGAATCCGCGTGGGCTGGAGATTAGAAAGTCTTACCCAAAGAAAGAGCCGGGGTGTGATCATCGTCTCCCGCCATAGCGTCTTTGCGCTGATATAGGACCTTCAGGAGTTCGTTCTCACAGTACTCAAGAGCAGAGTTCAGGTTCTCGAATATTTCCACCCAATTCTCCTTGCTAAAAAGCCCAACATTATGCAAGCTTTTCCCAACATCACCATTCACATCAAGACTGCTGATAATCATGTGAACCCTCCGTTTCCAAAGGATCCTGTTTAACCGGGTGAATGCCTCTGCGGCGGAGAAATCTAATCCCTTCACGTGTGCAAAGTCAAGGATGAGGAAACGTATAGGCTGGTCTTTGAACCTCTTCTCCTCGATCAATCCCCGTATTTGTTTCTCCACGCTGGCGATTGTACCGAAAAAGAGAAAACCGGCTAGTTTAATGACGTATGTCTGTTTGCCAGCTTCTTTAAGGAACTTGACTTGCAGAGGATGGCGCCTCACTGTAGAAAATGCCACTTGACCAGAGTAGGTGGCAGTGGCCGCGGACGTCTGGGCAGTTTGAACAACGAAATTTACACAGGCAAGTATTATACCAATAATAATTCCAGTCACAAAGTCCCACGCCCCCATAGTCACGACAATGATCACCACCTATCGGAGGCAAATTAGCATAGCTCCTAGAAGATGTGAGAACGGGGGTAAAAAATTATGGCGGGGGTTGAGAGTCCTACTGTAATATATTCCAATTCGTGTAGTTTTCCCCATGTGTCCACAAGAGCTTCTTCCAGAAGTTCTATACCAAGCATGTAGATAAGGGCACCAACGACCATTATTGGGAAATAACCAATTATACCAGGGCCCACCAGCATGATGCCAAAAGTGGCACACGTTAGCATAATCCCTGCCAAACGACTGTTGCCTCCACTGCCAATGAAGAGTAAACTATTTGTGTATACAAGGTAATTCTATATTGAATTACTGAATTAGTGATACCTCACAGTATATCGAAATTTATCCCTTAGCTTACCTGAATACCACCAAGAAAACCTGACAAGGCATTTGAAACGCCATGTGCCAGGAGTTCTCTGTCGACGTTCAAGTTGTCTTCGCCAGTTGAGATGCCCAGAGCAGGGACGTTGATAGGCACATGCAGGACACCGAAAAATGTCAGTGCGAACATTGCGGGAATCGTCTCGGCAAGCGCCGGCCAATCGACAACGGAGAAATCTAGAAATCGTTAGCGACATTTGCTATAATTGTGCTTGGGAATAGCAGAAAAGTTCACCATATAACGTATAAAAGTGATACCAAGGCACTGATGAGGATGGAGCCTCAAAAACCCAGCCCCGATTCCTTAAAGTCTCCAGTGGGATATGCAAAGCGAACTTCAAAATGTAGAATATAAAGCCAACGGAAATGAAATAGCCGCCAACAAGGAAATTTGATTTGACGAATCGTTTGATCACAAGCAAGCCAATAGCAATGACCAGAGGTAGGGTCCAGAGGAAAATTGTGTCGAGTTGAACAAGTTTGTGTAGAGTGTCCAAGTTATATTCGAGATTCCCAGATAAACGGGCAGATACCTCAACACCAGTAGCAAGAAGAAACCAGCCAACACCGCCAATGCATCCGATTAATATGTGACGAGGAAAGAACCCTGTCAGCAAACCCAGCTTGAATGCTCCCATAATGAAGAAGACAGAGCCGGTCAGGACGGAGCTGATAGCAAAAGATAGTATGGTGGTAGCGAGCACCGCTTTTTCGTTCTGCTCTCCTACCCTGTTGAGGATCATAAAAGCCATTTTATGGAAGAATGGAACCACTTCGATCATTTCAGACCCAACACCTCCTCTGAAAATTGAGCCTCCGCATGAGTACACGAGCTGAGCAACAATCGTACTAACATAAAACATGGAGGTACCGTCGGGGGCCAGGCGTGCGAACACCGGCTCGCCCAGAGGGAAAAGAATCATCCCGTACGAAAGGGCATCTAGTATATTGAGTAGAAGGCCCAGAAAGACGGAAGGAAGAAGGCTCGTGGGATAAACTATTCCCTTTCGCCAGATTGTCCGCCTATCACAGACCTTGCGGTTGCAACGATGGCTGCATAAATTGCGTCCCTTTGTGCATATGGCGCGGAATTTACTGAAAGACCCGGTTCTAGTGGTTTGATTCTCAACATCAACTGAAGACGTGCCATAACTCTGATTCCTTGTCCGAAATGCCCTTTGAATTAGGGATGTTCGTTCTGTGTCTTGCACTTTTGAGCCACGAGAAATGATGAGATTTGGGTGAGTATAGTCTTCCGGAATGAGTTCTTCGTTGGAATCACTGCCATCATCACTTGGTATGGAACTCCGGATCATCTTTTTAAGAGATAAAGTGCCGCATTTTGGAAGGGGATGAGAATATTTTCTTTGGAAATGCGGTTCTGATGGTTCTGGAATCTGTCCTGGGCCCTGGCTCTGGACGTCCCGAGACTGGTCTATATTACGTTGGCCATCAATGAAAATTCCTGACCGATTAGGTACGCTCATCTGCGGATCCGAGAGAGAAGAACCGTGACGACCTGATTCTCCATCAAATAACGCCAGGGATGCCAATTCTGCAGTGTCTTCTCGGACCCCACGGGACGAGTATTGGGCCGCATCTATCGCGAAAACCATATATCTTAGTATGATGACTTAGATAACAATTATCAGGAGCAAGGAGGGGAAGTGCACCTAGAGGCCCTTGGAAAGTCCGATGATAAAACGATCTAACCGGTGTCCTCTCGGTGTGAGACGTGGAGTACGGAATAGGCGGAGGGGAGCCTATCTCTTCAGAATGGCTAGATTGAGATCCATGCCAGGAATTGCTCGCAGAAGTAACTGTGGCTTCATTTCCTTCGACAATCTGTGGTTCCCTTGGGCGTTCTTGGACCTCGCGTAGATGTGATTGCGTTGAGTCGTGGGAAGTTCTCCGCCGCGTGTTCTCTCCACCAGAAACCATGTTGCCGTGTCACTCCGCCGGGAGTTTCTGCAACGTATAAAGACCAACCGGAAGCCGTACTTTTAGTCTATGACAGGCCTCTGATCGCTACCAACGGGCATAAGCTGTCCGGAATACATTCATATGGACGGAAAACGATTCCAGTAAGTCAACTGAGAGGTGACTATCACAAGATCGCAAATTGTATTGTATTATAGTGATCGTGTGAACTCAAGGAACCATCCATTAACCAGTTCCCTGTTGGATAAGAGGATCATTATCATCATAGCTGACAAAAGATTGAAATGAAACCTGATAAGATAAGGTGAATATTGGAAATTTTGCGATGCCACACAGTTGGAAAAAACTGGAAAATGGGGTAAAAAGCATAAATTATAGAGCTCTAAGGTCGAATTTAGTCCTGCCAAATTAAAATTCTATTTTCCTTCCATTTGAATTTCTGGCAGTTTGTTAGTTACATGGTAAGCATAGCGCTAAGTTGGTTAGCAGAAGGCAAAAATGAAAGTCGGACTACCCACATGCAATAATTCAAGCTGCAATGACCCACGTCATGGTATCCTGCGAAACGGGTGATAGGGAAAAAAAGGGCAACGTAGATCTGAAAAGACTCCGGCTTAATGGCTTAAAACTGGGGTGCTGCTTACGCATATGGCATCATTAAATCATATCTCTTGTCAGGGTTGAGATATGATCTCTGAAATGGGCCTGCACAAACTCAACTCAATTGGCATGTAATTCAAAAAATCTTTTGATTTTGAAAATGTCTATGTTGGTGGAGAAGGGTTTGGCCCATTTTATTGGTTTTGATACATCAAGTTCATCCAATGATATTTTGACTTAAGCTAGTATTATTTTACCCGAGACATTTACACTGGTTATCAACTACAAAAGCTTTTGTCACCTATTGCTAGTTCCTTTGTTGTTACAAGATCATTTGAAGACAATCTTCATTTAAACCTTCTTTCAAACATTTACATACACCCAGTATGTCAAATTACTACTAGAAATCATAATTAAATTTGCATATGAACCATACTGGAAACACAGGTAAGGTAAGATCTATTTCGTACGCAAATAGATGTTGATTTCAGCCTCAATTTTACTCTCAACAACATATCACCTTATCTGCTATTTCAGCCTTTCATTGGCAAATTAATTAAAAGTATTTTCAAATAAGTGCACAGCATTTATTTAGAGGAAAATACGTTCAAGCTTCATGGCTGCAGAGACATTTTCTCCTGGAGGTTACCAATCATTTAAGCCATCTCACACGATATCCAAATAAGGTTGTTAGCTTACATCGTTGAACCAATCAAGGAAATGGCGGAATTAAGCTTAAACCATGCTGCACGTCAGAGCCTCTGAAGTGTTGTGTAACATATTTCACAGTGAACTTGCTCTGCCCAGGGGATCTCACTCATCTCGCTCATGTGATATCAAACTATATTTACAACTAGCTCTAGACATCAATGTAGAGGTGTAATTCCTGTCTAGATGTTTGTTACACATGTGTTCATGAATTGAATTCACTGCACAAGAGCAGTTTCTTCTGAGATTTGAAGCTTTTGTTTCATAAAAAAAAAATTTAATAATAATAACAATAATTAATGAAACAGATGCCTTTTTATTCATACAGCCAGCAATATAATCATGTGGATTTGTATGATGGTCAATCCCTGATTTGAATAACAGAAGCTGCTTAAAAAAACCTGATTTGAATTCTTGATATTCAAATATCAAGTTGTATGATGTTATAACTGAGGTTAAGACTGAGAACTTTTAACTGGTGATTGATAAACTAGACCATATCACATGTGGGCGAGGTCAACCGGGCAGGCGAGTTCACCGTGAAATACATTAACACAAGGTGCTGATATTATTAAACTATCCATGTCAATTGCTGATTGTTGGGAGAGATACGATATAATTCTCTACTCATTGTTGCTCCTCTCCTTCATTGGCCTCTACTCTGAGGAAGTCATGCTGGGACATCGCATTCAAGTTTTCTGATTCCTGAATGCACCTGCGAACCTGGTTTCTGCTAAAGGAAAAGGAAGCGAGCTCATATTTCTAATGCCCATTATATGATGAAAGGGTTTGACGATGCTTTTGTTGCGAAATCGCTTCCGTCAGAGCAAGCTCGGTTTTAGCATGATAATCAGGCAACCGGGGTGGTGTACAGGTCGAATAAGAATCGTACGCAGGAGACAGCTATATTTTCTTCCGAGCTTAAGATCAGATCAGCTTCTTCTTGCAATGATGGCTATGAAATAATAGAAACGGTAATCGCTCACGCCCGACATAATTTTGTTGGGGATACACTTGAAGGTTAAGAAAGGCTAGAACGGGACTTGGGTCTATGCTAACTTACGTAGTAAGTGCCGAATTTAAGAAGCTTTGTACTCGATAACATCTTATTCACCTTTTCGAAGCGTATGTTAACCATGCAATAGGGTTAGAGTCATCCTAAGTATATATAGAATATAATTTATGACTATTGCTATCGTGCAATAATGAATTGAATATGCCACACTTAGGCCGTCGACCGTCGTACCATAGAGAGCCATAGTGATTTGATGTAAATGAGAGTTGTCGCATCTCCTGCAGCTTTCATTAGGTCCTTTCTCACTAATCGAACAAAGATAATATGGACCTTCAGTTCGCCAGTTGGCTCGTTGCCAGTTTTAAGGAGCTAATCGTTATACATCAGTGCGTTTCACCATCTTGCTGCACATTTCACGTATCGGTGATGAGAATGAGGTTGGTGGTGTTGTCTATCTGATGACTCGTGGAATTATGTCCTTTCCCCATCGACAAAACAAAACCCATGATCCGGTTTGGAGAGTTGCCTACAGGGAGCAAAGGAAACAATGCTGCAATGCTGCAATGCCGTTGGAACAAGTTATGTTGCCCCTTCGCCCGGGGTTTACTTGCAAATGCCCATGGTGTCAAGGTAACAATGGCCATCAAAGCATTATTTGTCGGGCGATGTTGTTTTGATCGTTCGCTTTGCCTCTTGCTCAGTGATGAAACTGGAGCAGGGTTCTACTTGGATGCGCATTCTTGGGCCAGCATGTTAGCTCAGTCGCTGCAGATAGCCCTGCGCAATGAGCCGTTCAACATCGCCCAAGCGGACATAGAATTGACTGTTTTTCGTCAACGTAATAGCCCTATTCGAGAAGGACGAAAGTGTTAGCAGAACGAAAATAGCCATTAAATAAGGGGAAATGATTGAATATGGCAGTATAGGATAATAGACAAATATTACTACCAAGGGTTGGCAGCAGGGCAATAGAGTAAAATCAAATGGGATTGGGATACGAACCCATATTCCGTCTGAATCTCCCCAGCATCCTTCAGCACGCGCACATCAATAAACAGGTCCTTTGGCGGTTTTAAGCTACCCGTCAAGTCAATGTCGATCCAATGTCCTTTATACGCCGCCAGCATATCACTATACTGGCGAAAGTACTCCATTTCCTCTGGACTGAGGGAATTTGCAGCATGGCCACCACCGCCCTGAGAAACCGGATCACTCCCCTGCATCTGCTCTTCGTCCAGCACGTCACGGCCCTGCCAGCACATTTCCTCCAGTTTCTCGGCACGCACCCGGTGGTAAGCCAGCAGGCATCTTTTGTTGCGTCGCATGGATAAATGGTCCACAAGCAAGGCGCAGGCGGTCGCGTGGTTCTCCGAAGGGTTGAATGTGCCCTCGAACGGCTCTAGGATACGTGCCACGTCCTTGTCCAACTCGCGAACTTCGCGTGCCACTGAACGCACCATTTCTGTCTGATATGGCGGCAGTTGGGAGAGGGATTGCACGCGTTTTGCATGTTGGACCTGATTGCCGTCGAGTTTGCTTTCAATTAGCGCACGGAATGTCCCCCATCCCCCATCCCCCCTTCTATCTTCTTTTCTTTCCCCCAAAACTTTTACAGGTTACGGGGATTTGTGCAATTTGTCAAATACAATGGTCCGCTTACCAGCTTGTTCCCCAGGTCTCCGTACATGGTGGTAGATTTGATATATGTTGGGTCGCCACAAGACTTCGGAGCGATGATGTCCAGGATAATGGGACTTATGCAGCTGGTTGAGTCAGCTTCTGCAGGAATTGCCTATAATCGTTCTGATCCTCTACGGAGCCAATCTGCAATCTGCAACCTGCTGTCTGGAGCTCTGGATGGATTGAGGTTGAGGTTTGGTGCCAAGACCAACAAACAACGTGCCTGCCACGAACACAGCGCCACCACACAAAGGGAAGTTTCTTTCTTTCTTTGCCTGGCCGAATCAAGCCTCAATCAACTCAACAGAGTTCTTTATTTCTTCTTTTGTTTCTTCTTATAACATTGTCACATTCATCATGAAAACATTTCCATTTATCATTGTCTTGCTCTATGTTTCTAATTTAGCTTCACTTCTGCAACATGTCTTTCAACTTATGATGCAAGTTTCACTCTTGACGATTCTTTTCTGGGGGGCATGAATCAATCACACTAGGTAGGTCTGTGACAAACAGCAACTGTTCCCTGACATTGCATCATTATGACGAGGGAAGTATTTCTCACTTCAGTCAGGGTGCTATAATTAGAAGTTGCTGTTTTCTCATTTGAATTCATTATTGACTAACGAGAGATGATCTCATTATAGAGGTTCCTTGTCATGAAAGCTTTCCCTTTATCTATCTCAATGAACGGTTGATTGTGTCAGCTGAGTTGGGGGTAACAAACTCGAGTCATCAAATATTAGAATGAGCTTATCATATTCAACTACTAACTATTCGAATACAGAACAGTACGTGCATGAAAAGCAAGATATTGAGAAAGCCAGCACTCTGACCAAATTGTTGTTCAACAATCTGTCAATGATTAAGAAAAAGGGGCCTCGGCAAATGGAGTCGAGAGAATTTTTGCAGAAGTGATGTAAACACACAACCCACCCAGTAAACAGCGGACTACACAGTTTGGAAAATTATCATGCGCCAGAAACCAAGCTTAAATCCCATTTAGAAAAGGAAGAGGAACGCATGACACACCTTTCCACTCAGGGATAAGAGCAACGGATCAAAACCCATTAAGAAAGAAACAAACAAGTTCAATCTCTTCAACGCTGGTTAAGTTCTCCATAGAATTGGCAGGTAACTTTGAAGATAACCATACCGATATTGGTGCCTCGAAGAAGGATAGCGACAAACTGCAATAAACAAATACACTGGTAGAATGGAAGAGGACAGGATTAGGGGTGGGGGAAACATCTTTACTAACATTACCTTAAATACAAAAGAACGGGAGAGAAGTAATTTCACAGATGTTTCTGCTGGCCATTACCGCCGCACTCATATGAAGCCCCAGAACCAATCCAGTCTTCGAATTGACTCCCAGTCTCAATCTGGCTTTCATTCCACATATCACGACCATCCATGCTTTGTTGAATACTAGGATGGAAGGCGTATTGCTGCTGATATCGTTCATCTTCTTGACTGGAAAGGCTAGGGCTAACATGCTGTTGCTGTCCGTTGGGCATGTGCCACATATCCAACTGGACATGGTAGCTAGCTCTGTCGTTATATGGTAGACCATGTGGGCTTTCAAATTCCATGAGCTGTGGGTCGACTTGCATGTCGTTGAGGGATGCAGGAGATCCTGTTTGTGGAAGCAGTTGCTGTTGGAGCAGGTCAGGATGTGCATTACCCGGAAGGCCAGCCAAAGCTCCCTGTCCGTCATATGGTATGCCTGGAACACCCATCTTCTTGAAGGTCACGTCTTCGATATTGGGGCCTAGCATGCTTTGGTGGATAGATGGCTGATAATAATGGGTTTGCTCTGGAGGCGATATCATGCCGGGAAGAGGTCTGCCAGGGTTTGACATCTCCCATGATGATCTGTTCATGTCACTGTTGGCATACATATCCCCATTTTGCTCGAATGGTGTTCCCTGACGGCTGTCGTACGAGCTATCTCGGTCCAAAGGAGTGGGAGTGCGGCTTTGGAAGCTACTACCATGAAACGAACCCCCGGACATATGCTTCACGGTTTTCGGGTATGATCCCATGCCGAGGTCATTGATGTCGCTATTGTCTTCTTCTTTCAACGAAGAAATGTTTCGCTTCTTCCGAGTGTTTGTCCTTTTGTTTGGTGCGAACTTGTAAGTCGGGTGGGCTTTATCGTGGTTCTCTCTATCGATGATTGCTAGCCGCTCATAGTATTCTCTGATCTCCTTTGGTTCCAGAGACCAGCTAGAGCCAGATATTTGCGAGACGACTTGATGGTTGTTCTGGCAGATCCATCCCTTTGTTCTTTCCGCATACGCTGCGCGATACAGGATAAATGAATTCATCGGTCGGGAAACTTTACCCTTTTTATTCTCAACCTCCTTCCGACGTTGTTCTGAGGATCGCATTACATGGGCTTCCATATCTCGTACCGGAATTTTCATATCTCTGGTCAGTTCGCTCAGGGGACGATCAACAACGTGATCGTGATTATTGAGATGCTTGGAAACTCGGTTCTTCTTTTTTGCCGCCTTCCTCACCCTAGGCTTGTTCACACCACCCGGGATAAGAGGTGAATCGCCTCGGGTACGAGGGCGGAGGGTTATTTCGGGTGAATGCAGAGCAGCCTGTGGCACGATGATCAGCTTTCGAACAACTTTGGTGTTGGCTTTGCTGGCCCAACCTACCATTTGCGGGTAAACACCCTCAACACCGTTTCCATATGGACTCAAAAGCGAATAGTCACCCTAACGGATTGTTAGACTATGGATTGATTCCTGATCGCAGCAAAGGCATTCAGTTACTTACAGCAATTATGGGTTGCCCATCAGGGTCCATCTCAACACGACTATTCTGCAGAGCCTGGGACTCTGTTATTTGCATATACATGATTTCAACTGGTAGTTTGTTGGGGTAGGGTGATCTAGCAGTATGTATCGAGCAATCGTTAAAACTGCGGGTCAGTTCTCCGTCTATAGACAGTGGAGGCGACGGCAGATGGGTATTTAACATATCTCACTCGGAGTCGTTTTGCTGGTCGAAAAAAGTAGTGAGTTGCCGTTTCGGTTTCCACAGACCGCCCCCGACAGTGTTACAGATCACTCTGTCCTAACAATTGAGTGGTGAACAAACTAGGGAGACTTCCCCTGAGGCACAGTGCAAAGAGGAGAAGCAATGTGCGGTGGTGGGTAGGGTATAAGGTGTTGGGGTCAAGAGAACTTCTTATCTTGGTTCCTTGCAGCTGGTATGGAGGAGAGTTTTATGTATTCCGGTTGGGTGAAGCTAGGTGAAGCTTTCACATTCCTCAAGTGCTCAAGCTTCCTGAGGTTTCAAGCGAACCGTTACACCACTATAAGGATCGAGAATATGATTGCGTCTTGATTAGGGAACGAGCCGACCCGGTCACTAACTCCTGGTTCCTGGAGTGACGTGACCAGATTATTTTTGGTGCTTTAGGAGGCGCAAGGGGGTTGACTGGCAAGAAGGGAGGCGAGAAATTGTGCGGCTAATTGCGACAGAAATTTGGTCCGGATGCGGAAGAGGCCGGGGTAAGGGGTTGGTAAAGCGGAGAAAAATATGGTAGCTGTTTTCCTGAACGGCAACTTTGAGCCTTTCGGGTGGTTTTCTTTTGTTGATGTTTGAGGAAGGCGGATTATATGGTGGTAAAGGAAAGTTGGCTCTGATCTTATTCTTATGGTGCTCTCTTTTTCTTGCTCACTTTTTATGCTCTTGCTACCGATGCAAAGAGCAAATATAGAAAAGAGAAGAGCTTGGGAAGAAAGCGCCGGAGCTTGCAAGCTTCAGGCCGCCTATGGATGAACTGTTGCAATCACCCGCTCTTGGGTGGGACAGCTTATCCCAATATCTTATTAGCGTCTGGGAAGGCAGTGGCCAGAAACATGCAGCTGGTCAGGAAGCTGATCTAAAGAGGTTTAGCCATAAGAACCTTGTCATATGAGGAGGAGAAACAACTAAGATCCTCCTAGTGTGCATGGACTGGCTGGGGGTTCAGGAAGGGGGAGCGTTTCCCAGGGCAATTCTTTGTTTTGAAAGGGGCCAGGAGCGGGGGCTGGGGAGGGAGAGCATCTTTGTACTCACATACGGAAGCAGCAGAGGGGTTTCTGCTGCTGAAGACAAGAAGAATGAGGGATACTGAAATAGCTCCCCTTTGTGTCTATTCGGTTGTTTTGGTGTTGTTTTTTGTGATTGTGTTGTTTCTCGCGGTTTCACATTGAAGTTGCTCTTCAATTTGGTTAGGAGCGAGCTTTGGTAGCAAGATGGAGTAATGCTTGGTGCAGGAATGTCGAAAGGTGAATGCATAACAATTTATAGAGGGAATGAGGAGTAGGATGGGATTGGAGTATGAAGAGGGATCTTTAGTGATATTTGTATTTTGGGATTGGGATTCTAAAAGCAATACCCCAGGGATATAAACCGTGTATGTATGGATGCCGGGCAGTGATACTTACTTGGCTACTAATCCGGAGGGAGAGATGCAGAGGAGCTTCGATATGAGAAAATAGATCGACAAGAGCTGCTTGGCTTACACATTGATTCGCATTACAGTGCAGAAGAAGGGCGTTGGGCCAACAGGGCCCATATTCCTATTTTATCCCGTGCCTCGCTCCGCTCTATACCAAATAACAGACTTCGGCCCATGCCAACCGCGACGGCAGGGCCAGCAGAATGCAGGATAGGCGAGCCATAACTCAGACAATATTTTTATTTTTATTTTAAATTCTGCGGGGTGGTGGGGAGATAGTGGGAACGGTCCCTTATGTGGGTGAGTAGTAGATTGGCAACTGACAGCACGCAGCATCGGCGGCAGGAGAGAAATATTGCTACTATTATTGCGGTTTGCTGTTGGTTCAGAAAGGCTGTTCGGCGCTTGAAGCACCACGCCCGTAAGCTTTCCGGCGGGGGCTTATCACCAACAGATGTTGGCGGCAGCGGGCAGGGATGCTGGGACTCCAAACTATGGTTCACAAATGATGGCGGTCCAAGATTCCCTCTTCTTCCCCC